GTGCTTGCTTTGTTTTATTATGTGTTTCTTTGTTTTTGTTATTTTTCTTCTTTTTCATAGTGGTGGGTAATGTTGTTGTTGTTGTTATTGTTGTTTTTGTTTTTATTATTGCTCTTTTGTGTTTCTTTTCCTTATGATAACACAACTAAGCTTGTTGATGTTGCTTCTATCGTTATATCTGCTTGTGTGGGATTGTTATCATTTCTGTTCCTGTGGTCGTTGTTATTGGTGTATTTCTTTTTAATGGTATCATTGCTGTTTTTGTTGTTGTATTTGTTGCAGTCGTTGTTGTTGTTGTTGTTGTTGTTGATTTTGTAGTTGTTGTTTGTGTTGTTGTTGTTTTTGTTGTTGTTGTTGTTGTTGTTGTTGTTGTTGTTGTTGTTGTTCTCTTGGTTGTCATTGTTCATGTTTTTGAAATTGCTTCCGATGTAGTTTTTTAGTTTGTCAAATTGGTCATCAATATGATGCGTGCATTAAAAAAAATATTTTTTGCTTCGTTTTTATTTTGCCTGTGACAGAGAATTTGCACGAAATGACGACGATGTACAAATTGGATACTCTGTTCTTGTTTATGAGGCTTTTCAGCAGGCCCAAAAACTATAAACCTGGACAAGATTCACCATTTTGTTCCTTCTACTTTTTTATATATACGCTTTAGAAGTCACCACACTTTAACCACCAATTTCCTGTTTATTTAATCTCTGACAAAAGGTGACCTCCACCTCCTTTAACCGCAAATACCTCTACTTCTTTTCAAGATAAATGAATAGTTTTCCCTTAAAAGAAAGACAAATAACTAGCTTTAACTTGATACCATTATTTCTGTATGCCAAAAAAGGAAAGAGCGCCATATTCCACCGTGTCATTTCACAAATTTAGCTCCAGATCAGACAAATTTACTCACTTGGGTCAGGGTCTATGGTACAGACGCCGTCACAGGTACCCGCTGTGTCCGTCACACAGCCGGAAGTCGGGTCATAGCGCTCGCCCACGTCACAGCAGCTGGGTTTGTGAACAATACTTGTAAGTTATAAATATCAGCAAATACAAATTTACAGTGTTGTTCCTGTGGGTTTAAAAATAAAATTTTAACTCGTCTAATTATACTATACATCAGTATGAATATCTATGAGATAAACTCTCTCTCTCTCT